TCTCGGCAGGAGCAACTTCTCACTGGAGAAGAGCTCCACACTCTTCCCCTGCACCACCCACCGGCTTTCCTTTTTCTCTCACAGGTGCTAATTTACAAAGCAGAAATGGCTGCCACAATTAGAAGCTGCCCCTGAGTTCTGAGTGAAGCTGCATCCATTTCTCTAGGTTCTCTACTATAATTGATCCCTCAAGTAACCCCGGGAGAGTGGGCATCCAGAGCACAAACGCCGTATATCTTTATAGTTCACACACACACACACTTCACACTCACCCATTTGCACACAGGTACACGGAGGGGAAAGGATGTGTGTATGTGAGAGAAAAAATGGAGAGAGAGAGAGAGAGAGAGAGAGGAGAGAAAGGGAGAGAAGCAACAGCATCCGGACGGTCAGGGAATGGTAAGTTCTATATCGTACACATCTTTCAAGGCACTCTAACATTTTCCAAGTTATTTAGTAGATGTTTCCAGACCGAGTTAGTCTTAAGTCTTTTTAGAAACTAAGGCTTTATGGCCATTTAAAAGTCTCCTCCTCCCCTACCTCCTCCCCTACCTCCGCCCCGACTCCGCATTCTGTCCCTTTGAGCCACCACGGTACCCCCCCCCACCCCCGGGCACGTTTGCCCTGTGGCTCTGTCTGCGCTGTCTTGGGGAGCCCTCCTGCTCTCTGATAGGTCATTTTCCTGAGATCTCGATAATGGAAGGGTTATCATTCTTAATCCCTGGCTCGATAGAGGTTATACATTGCACAAGCCAAATATACAAAGTAATCAACTTCCCCAAATTACATTGCTTGATATATCAAAGAGAAACAGGAAACTTTTCGTGGATCTTTCCACCACGCCCCTCAGGAGAGCCTGGCGTTTGCCCTCGCCTTGGCGTCAATCGCTGTGCCCTCCACACAGACGGCTGCTAAGGAATAAGTTTTAACTTATATGTTAACTTCTTTTAGGTTTTGGCTTCCTTTAAAGTGGTCAATAAATTCTTATTTTTTAAAGTAATGAGATTAATGGGATTAAGTACTGGTCTGTCAACTGCCTCCTTATTGAAAAATTGTAATGCAGCCAAAAAAATAATAATAATAATGGATAATATAAGAAAACTTATTCTGGAATATTCTTGAAGGACTAATTAGGGGAAATATTCTAGTTTCAACAATCAGTTGAACATATTTTCTCCTCTTTACTCATTGTAATAATTGTTTGTTTATACTTCAATAGGCAAACCAACTTGTTGCTTTTATTAACACAGAGATAAGACCGTATACACGATTAGCTATAGAACTTTTCCTAAGTTTGGAACAATATATCCAACAGATAGGAAAACATATGTATAATCTCTTCATGACTGGGTATATTATTATCCCAGACATTTTATATGTGCCTTCTCCAAAATTTCACAGAATTCTTGGTGTGATAGGCACATGGATGATGTATGGCCTTGGGAATATTAGCTATTGCAACAGGAAAAAATACAGCATCTATATAACACACAAGGTGGAAAGCAGAGAAAATTAAGTCATATTGTTAGTGAGCAGATTATCAGGCAAGTGGTTCCAAGGAGGTATTGCAGGTAGGATTTTCCAGGACACAAATCCTGGGACAGAGGAGAGCACATAGGGATTTATTAGGGACTTTTAAGGGGATGAAACCTGTGGAGGAGAATGGAATGAAGGGGCATAGGCTGAGAGAGAGTCCAAGATGCAATGCAGCCTCAGAGAGGCTCCAACCAATTCTGCAGGGAGCTTTGAGACAGTGATGACCCTTCAGAGTTTTCCCAAGTCAGGATGAGAGGTCTGGCCCTCGACAGCCCTGGTCGACTGGTCATTGCATCTATCCAACCCCAGGATGGTGCACGACCTTCCTTTTCAGTCAGGAAAGTCCTGAACAGGATTACAGCGAACTGGCGTCTTCGGGCAGTGCTCTGCGTAACAGAGGGACGACAGTCCTCGGGTCGTAAAGAAGGACCTGAGTCGCACATTGCCACATCCGCTACAGGACGTGGTATCTGCAGTGAACATGCTGGCACTTAAAGGAGAATTAATACTTCCCCAGTGTTGTTGGAACATGCCTATCTTTTTGTTTATGTTTACCTGTATCTTCATACTGCAGCTGTAGAGTGGACTCGCTGTTCCAGAGGCTGTGCGGCCTGCAGAGCCTGAAAGCTTCAGTATTTAACCCTTTACAGAGAAAGTTTGCTGACCCTCCATCTGGGGCTCACACCCATCAAATAATTTACCACTTCAAATGTAAGATAAGAAACTACAGTATATATATATATGTATATTTCTTGCCTTCTATCCTTTGTGCTATTATAGTCATACGTTTTGCTTCTGGATCTCAATGAACAAGTATTCTATACTTACTGGCATGTTTATCATTTTCAACATTCATTTTTTTCATGTTGTATGAGTTTCAATATAGTAAGTTTTTCTTGGAGCAGAAAACCTTCCATTTCTTACAGTACATATCTACTGGTGCTAGATTTGCTCAGTTTTTGTGCTAAATACCATTATGTTGCTTTTATTTTAAAGGACATTTTGGCTGGATATAGAATTTTAGGTTGGCAGCTTTCTTCTTCCTTCTTTTCTGTCACTTCAGATACGTTGTTCCATTGTCATTCAGCTTGTACTCTTTTTGCTGAGACGTTATTGCCCTCTGCTTATTTTTGAGAATTTCTCTTTAGCATTGCTTTTTACTAATTGATTATGATGTGTCTTGGTGTTTTATTTCTCTTGCTTGGAATCTGGTAAATTTCTCACATATCTGGGTTTATATTTTTCAACCAATATTTCTTCAAGTGTATTTCTTTCTCTCGAATTTCTACCTTCTCTGCTTTTAGTACTATATTTTCATGACAATACTATCCTCTAGTTTAATGGAATACTGTTTATTTTTAAGCTTTCTTTCCCCTCTGAGCTTCCATTTAAGAAGTTTATTGACTCTATATACAAGTAAACTATTTTCTCAGCTTCTAATCTACTGTTAGGCCCATCCAGTAAGTGTTTTATTTCAGATATAATTTTTAGTTCAAAATCTTTCATTTTTTTTCTTTTGCTTTTTTTCTCTCCATTAAGACTTCATATTTGCATCTTCAATATTTATATATTGTCTTTCAATCAATGACACTAATTTATATTCTCAATTTTAAAGTGCTGGTCTACTAATTTCATCATGTCTGTAATTTTCAGTCAATTTCTGTTGACTGACTTTTCTCTGATTACAAGTCATACTTTCCTGCTTCCCCAAATGTCTAGTATTTTACAAAGTTTTACACAGGGCATTATGGTCTTCCTGAATGGAGTGTTGAGTTTTGTTTGAGCAAGGTGTTATTTATTTATGGGTCAGATTGATCTTTTTTTCAGGTTAATTAGCAACCTTTGTTCAGATGTATGCAGAATAGCCCTTATTCTGGGACTACATTAATCTAATCTTTTTCTGAGATCTCTAACGAATGCCTAGCGTTGTTCAACAAGTTTGCTTAATCTTGTCTAGTCTGAAATCAACCTAAACTCAGCCCTGGGCATCCTCTGGTTATTGTTCGTTCAGAACTCCCTCCAGCTGGTCTTGCGGAATCGCAGTTCTCAAATACACAGCTTGATATTCATCCAGCATCTGAGCCGTAGAGGCTCATTGGTAATCCGAGACTCTCACAGCTCTTTCTCTGCACAGCTGCCCCCTTTCTGTGCTCCGTCCTGCAAATTCTTTTCCTCAGGGGCTTTGATTCTGATGTGTCTCCATCTCACAATGCTGCCGTTTCTGTTTGGGATACTGGTCCATGTGCCGTGATCTGGAACATGAACCAGGCAGAAAGCCAGGAGCTGACGGGGCTCACCCCATTTGTTCATCTTCTCTCAGGGGTCAGGGTCCTGCGCTGTTTATCATCTAATTCCCCCAAAAGGATAATTTCATACATTTTTTCAGGTTTGTAATTTTTGGTGGTGGGGGAGCTTGTTCTATCAGAAATAAGCCATATAAACGTCATTAAATGAATGAAATATCTGTGATGACTTAAAAAATGATTTTTATTAGCACAGTCCTTATTGAATAAATTATTTTATTGTCAGCCTTATTCCTCTTTTGAAAAGTGATGTATATATTTTGGTGTACTGTCAATTAGGTAGTTTATTGAATAGTTTTTCCTTATTTATTCCCATTAGCAGCCAAACTCGCTCAAAAAAATTACATTGTCTATTAGCACTAAGTATTATGCCATATTTTCTATAATGTATTTATGTGCAGCTGTAGTTATTTTACATAGTGGTATAAAGCAGGAGATTTTTGTTCTAGATTAGTGCTATTTTTCTAATAGATATTTTTTTCATTCTTACTGATTTGCCCATCATTTATTATATTTTGCCAAAAGTATTTTATTTTATTTAGTAACTCAAAACATTTTCCTAGAAATGTGATTATCAAAAGTCATAGGTTTATATCTCTTAAGTGTTAGTAAACATATTGACTAATTTACTGTCTACCTTAGTTCTCATGAGTACAAGGCCTTACTGTAAGATTAGGCCTCAGCTTAAAAAGCTGTATTCTTTGAACTCTGAACTTTTGACAGCAAAATATATTTTAGAGTTGTGTATAATTATTTTTTGTTTGATTTATAATCTACCTAAAGATAAAATCTTATATGAGGAATTAATGGGTTGTTACATATATTTTTTCTAGTGATTTTTAGTTGAAAATTTCATGGTAAATTGATCAACCCTCTGCCAATTAGACGTTGACATGTACTAATAAGATCTAATTGAGGAATTATGAAGACATTTGCTCAGGAGAAAATGAGTGCATAATTATACCATAAAGAGGTTAGAGGAGCAATGTAACCCAGCTGGAAGAATATTAGCTCAAGTCCCAACGGCATCTGTAAAGGACGTTTCATAATATCTGCATGAAATACAGCCCGGCCAAGGCCAACTAAAAGATGAAAAATAACCCGTTGTCAACTATAGAAGTTTAAATATCTATTTTCCCCTTTTGTCCCTTCCTTGTTCAGGGGCTGGGGGATGGTCTCCCTCCGACAGTGACCATTATCAGTGGCTTCAGGTGGACTTTGGCAACCGGAAGCAGATCAGTGCCATCGCAACCCAAGGAAGATACAGCAGCTCCGACTGGGTGACCCAGTACCGCCTGCTCTACAGCGACACTGGCAGGAACTGGAAGCCCTATCATCAGGACGGGAACATCTGGGTGAGTCATTGCCAGGAAGGCAGAGACACAGAATTGAGCTGCAGGGGTCTGACCCTCCCTGCCCTGGGGACAGGGAGGGGGCTTGGGTGTGGCCTGGTTGGAGGTTGACCTTGCTGGGTTTTGGTGTTTTTTTTTTTCTTGTCTTTGTGTTATTATTCTCTGGCACTTGCTAAACGAGAAAGCAATGAGAGCAAAGCACAAGGCGGAGGGAACAGGAGCCCGAACCCCAGTGCGCCTGGCATTGCACCACGCCGTTCCCACGGTGGCTGGTGATGGGGGAGCTCTTACGTTCCCAAGTGCGATGCTCCTTTTCTCCAAGTTCTAGTGCATTTCTCAGCAAAAAAAACGAACAAAAAACCTCCCAATAAAACTGTGTTGAAACCTGAAAAAAGGATGATTAGGTGAATAACTTAGGATAACTTAAGGATGATAGAACACTATGATTTCTTTAAATGCAATATTTCAAGTTACTGTATTTTTGTCTGGAATGCCTTGCCTATCTGGCATGGTACACACTGTCCCCGAATCCTGAACCATGAGTTAACCATTGGAATGAAAAAGAGAATGTCCTGGCATAGGTGTCCATTTCCGACTCCCACTCCCACTTCCTCGCCTCAGACCGATTGTCCCGGGAGGAGGCCTGTTGCCGGTGGGGTGACCTAGCCCCGCTGGGGGGCGCTGGGCAGAGCGTTCACGTCCTTCCGCCCCGCTTCCTGTTTTGTTTCAACCCCGGCCTCTTCAGATGAAACACCATTCAATAGTCACTGGCCGTTTCTCATGAAGAGGGAAGTAAGGTGGAAATATGGTTGTCTTTTAAAATGGAAGAAAATGTAGGTCTGGAGCACGTCACCCACCACACTAAGCATCACTTCTCAGACATTTTTAAATATATATATATATTTAAATGTATTCATATGAGAGAAAGAGAGAGAGAGACAGGAACATTGATTTGTTGTTTCGCTTCTTAAGGCATTCATTGGTTGTTTCTTGTATGTGCCCTGACCAGGGATCAAACCCAAAACCTTGGCATATGGGGACGATGCTCTAACTAACGGGGCTACTCAACCAGGCCATTTTTAAATATTTTAAAATTTTCCTGGCCTTCACTCTGATATGGATACACGTATCAATATTTATCTATTAAAAACATTCAGAGAAACTATCTATCTATCTATCTCTTCTTGTTGACTGAAGAGACTGTTTCCTCAGACTACAATTTCTATCCCGGGCGTAGGGTGATGGATCTCACTGTGGGCCATCCATTTGAATGGCCCGAGGAGGCTGGAAACCATATAGATGCCAAGCAGACCCAGACCCATGAAATTAGAATCATCTAAGTAGAAATTAGATGAGTGATACCGGTAACATGTTTAAAGACAGACATCTTGAATGTGCATAAAATATTGAAATTATGAAGAAATAATCTATAGGGGTAGGAACTGTAATATATAGTAAGAAATTTCCCGTATTGTAATAGTAGTTGGAACTCTTATTACAGATCTGTCTGTATTTACTTATTTTATTGTAAAAAAAGCATTTAAAGAGTTTAACCCATTTACTCCTAAAATATCTCAATTACATTGGAAAAAGATGTGTATTTATAACACTTGAATAAATTATTTTAAAATACTAAATATTAAGAGATCTATTGTAGTTTAATTATTTTTAAAAGCAGCCATAACCAAAATCAAGTGAAGCCATCAATATTAAAAAAAAAAGAAAAGAAAAGAAAAAAGAGGAGGAGGAGAAGGGGAAGGAAATTCACTTCTGAAATTGTGTTCTTCAGAGTATTAGACAGAATGCTAGGGAGTTTTAACCTGATCAGAACCACTGTTAGAGAACTGATCATTTAAAAGCTCTCAAGTAATTTTCGTGAGCGACCAGAGTTTAGGGCAAGGGCCTGAGGCAGGTAGGAGCCAGTCCCATGACACCAGCTGTTTTGTGAGAAACCAAAAAGCTTCCATGACTAAGGTGACCCATAAGGAGACAGGAGGCAAAGCTCAAATCTGCCTCCCTGACCCAGGGTTAGGGCAAACTTTATGGGGTCGGGGGAACAGGCTGGCATGCGGAAGCGTTGGTGGGGAAGGTTTGGATTGGAGAGCTTTGGAACTTGGCCACTTATGGTAAAATAGGGGAAGGGGCTTCAGCACTGATCTCCCTGGACAATGGACCCTTCTCTCCTGAAAAAGTTCCCATGTTCAAGTTCCAGTGCTGTCCTGGTTCTTTGGTTCTGTGGAGGGAACAAGACTTCGGTTATTGATATAACCAGAGGTCAAAGTTCTCCCCTGTATGCACGGTTTAGCTGCATGACCTGTGGTTTTGGTCTGTTGTCTCTGAAAAGCAATTCAGCATCTTGTTAGAAACAGGATAGGGTCAGTCTGAGCTGGTTCTGTGGTTACTCTGGCTTGGGTAGCTGGTCATTTCTACAGAAGTATCCAATGGAAGTAACTGTCATGTGAAATGAGGATATACTGTCCTGAAAAAAAGGCGATACCAGAGTAGTCCTTTAGAAATAACTTCTATCCAGCCATGGTTGTATGGCAAGAACACTTGTATATTGGGATGTGTAAGTTGTAGGAAGCAAAAAGTGGGGAAATTGTCTCTTTATGGAAAATGTTCATCTCACAATTAAGATCATTCAAAGCCTCAAGCATAATTTATAGAGGAAGTGGTTTTCAACCCTCGGAATAACCCAGAAAGCTTTAAAACATAGGGACTTCGGGTCTCACCTCCAGATGTTGGATTTGGTTGGTCTAAGATGCAACCTGGAACTGGGATTTTAAAGGTCCCAGGTCATACTAATAATGTGCAGCCAACACTGAGAACCATGTTTGACTGGTTTTGGGCCTGTGAAACAGGAGTGGATGGAGGAATTTTATTGTGAGCAATAGTAGAATAGAAAATTAGGAAGAGCCTTTTTAAAAGTTTGGCAGAGAGAGAGAGAGCGAGAGAGAGAGAGAGAGAGAGAGAGAGAGTCAATGACCAACGAACAGAGGGATCGCCTGACCAATTGCCTGAGAGTAGACAATTAAGGCTCAGACCACAAGCTTTTCCTGCAAAACCTTTGTTATTTACGAGCTCTCTGGGGATTCTAATCTAAAATCAGATCAGCATGCTGATAGAATTATTTGAGAGGCTACAAACCAGACCCCAAAGTGTCCTTTGCATTTCTGGTTTTGTCGCGTTTCCCCCTCACTATGGAGGGAGTGTCAGCCCTCGCCTCTCACGTTGCGCTAAGGTGGGGAGCAGATGGCAGCTAAGGAGTGGGGGTTAGAGGGTGGAGGGACTGAGCAAAATGGAAACGAGACTCGTGGACATGGACAACAGTGTGGTGATTGCAGGGGGGAGGGGGGATAAGGGGACTAAATGGTAATGGGAAAAATATACAATAAAGATTAAATTTTAAAAAAGATGGCTATTACAATGCCGCCATGCCTGAGCTTTAATTAATTTGCCTGATGCTGAGCAGTTTGGGGTGACCCCTTGCTGACTCAATACAGAGATATATATTCAAAGGACTGTGTAAAGTCTTCCAAGGTGACTTGTACCCTTTTGGCAACATAACAATTACATTACTTCTAATAATCTATGACAGAAAAATTTTAATCCTGCTAATAGGAAGATAGCCCATAGTTTTGATGTATTCAAAGAGATAAAATCCGTTGTTTTCTCAAAATTCTGGAGAACTTTATAGTGCCTGTCTTAACATGCATTAAGTGATTAAAATTTAGAATTTACACCTCTCAACAAACAATGAACTTCGGCTTAAGTTTATTAAAAGTGATTATTATTATTATTGGATTCTCTTTTGATCCAACTACTGTTTAACATAATGTATATTGCACTTAAATAAAAGAGATTTCTGACCTAGGAAAGATTGGATGGCTTTTAGGTGGACAACACCTTATGTAAATTTCAGATAGTCAAAAGATTTTACAGGTGATGCTGTTTTGAGGTTGCTTTTTCCATCCATTCCCAAAATGACTGATGACCAAGAAGAATGCCAATTACTGTAAATTCAGTCACTTGAATAATGTTTTTAACAAATGTCAATGGTCATTCTATGATTGCAGCGGAAATGGACAACATAACTAATTTTATTATCATATTCTCATCAAATGCCCATATGGAGTTTCTGCATTATTTTCTGACCTTTGGAAAATATGTGAAAATAAGCAAGAACAGTTCATGTAGATGAGACATTATGACAGGGCCTCAATATTTTTTAAGTCATGAATCTGACTTTGGAATCTGCCTATGGAATGAGAATGGCTCTTGAAAATATTCCTGAAAATGGCTTGTCTGAATATTTAATACTCAAAGGTGTGTGTTGCTAAATGTGCTTAACTAGTCAAACCTTCTCACTCTTCTTTGATAATACTAAACATAATAGAATTCTTTGTACTTTATCCACAATGCCAGTTTCTTTTACTTAGAATTTCATTTACAATGTAAAAGGATAATATGTATAGATTGGTAAAATTAACACCCCCCATATATTACCTTTACATATTGCAAGAACTCTAATTTGCATACTTTTCTCGAGGTATTTTCAGGTTTCCCAAGTATGATCTGTTGGACAAAGGGAAGTATTCTTTGCAAGCATTTGTCATCAATAGTCCATTCAACCTCATGATAAGTAAGAATTCCAGCAGATTTTCACTAAGGGGCTACATTTAGTTTTGCTTGGGAAACTCAATTACTGGTTTTTGAATACAGATTATTTGGAGCCAAAATAGAAAATTGTAGTATTACTAATGAATGCCTTCTTCACATACTACTATTTTGCAGGATAGTAACATACTACAAATTTACCTATGATCTAAATATATTTTCTTTTTAATTTTTTTCTTAAAAATTAAACATTTATATATTTATATAACATTTATATATTACTAATTATTTTTTAAAATGATTTTGATCCCTTTGTTAATGGTAAGCAGGTATCAGACTGTGGTCAGTACCACTGAATGTATTAGATGGAAAATCCAAAGAATGGA